AACTAAAATTAACGGCCTGTGTGTTTCCCACTGAAGTCCTAAAATTGACTAACGATCTGACGGCCTCACGGAAGTGATCCACGGAGTAGCGGACACATCGACTAATTGCCTCCGTCTAATGGGAGAAGCCATCGCAGCGGACAGCGAGAACGTGGCCGTCCCGAATTGCCCCCCCCCCCGCGTTCCCGCCAGAGATCTTGGCCATAATAATCACAGGGTCCTGCAGCCATCGCTGCTTTGATTTCAGCAGAGGGAAAAATGCACTCAGTTGGTCTAAAAACGGACCCCAAAACGGAAGCGTGGAACAGGTGCTAGGCAACGTCCCCGTTTAATGACATCATTATCCATACCCCATCCCACATTACCAAGCACCACCCCGCAGTCTGAGCCCAGTGATGGAAGTCCACCAAGCTGAGAGCGTCTGACTCACGGTGGGGTCGATCTAAACAGATCCTCATCGAATTAATTAAGTATAGGGCGTGCTCCAAAGCAATTAGCGTCAAGGTACTCAGCTCTGCCCTTCACAGTGATGCTAAAAATATCCCAGAGTCATTGGGGCAGGAATGTTGTGGAGGGGGTGGGGGATAATCTATGCTAAACCCAGTCCCAGGGGAGGGGGGCTGTTTGTATCAAGCTTGAGTGAATAACAGCAGAGATGCAGCTAGAATCCAAGCTTTGCAGGTGGCCACATGACAGTTGTCATGTGACCTGTTTTCTGGCAAGAGGTGGAAGGAAGCAGCCTCCTGAGTGCCACTGGCACACCAAGCCGCCAACACCATCCAGAGGATGGGAGGGGCGAGGCTAGAGCAGCCTATTGGCCAAGTAAAATTCCAAACCATCACCTCCATGTGCCACATGGACCTTTGGTGGGCAGGTCCCACCACCCCATAGGCCTTGGCCCAATGACGGACAGTCGGATGGATGAATGAAATGTGCTTTGGAGGCAATCTAAACGGATTAGGCCGAGAGTTGTTGCAGGATTGGATTGTGTGCTGGCAGCCCCGGTCTCTCCCGAGTGGGCTGGCCTGGCTTTCCATGCCCTGGAATTGCTTGCTGTGAGTTATCCGCGCACGATCCAGTCAATGTGCACAAGGAATCACGTTTTAGCGCGAAGTACGCGGCCTAAATCGAGGACCTGATGGGCATAGGAGCCGTGAAGGTACCACCATGAAAGTATCACATTGGTGACTGTCACTCCATATTGAAATTTAGTAACAGGGACTATTTCCACACACACACACACACACACACACACACACACACGTTTGTCTTTGGGCTAATTATGGAAGTTCAGCTGTACCTGATACCACGCAAACCCATTTGCCGTCTGATAAATGTATCACCCTTTTCTCCGTCTACCACTTAATGACTTGGGGGAATTGCAAAGATTAAATGCAGCCGCGTGTAAATTGTTCCCCACCTTTTTATTTAGCTACTTTTTTGTGACAGTGGGAGGAGCCAGGGTGGAGCGTGTGTACGAGAAAAGGGGCCGTAAGGGGCGGAACCTGGGGCACAGGGAGGTCTCCCCCATTTCCATGTGACAAAAGCATTATGCCTTGAGAAAACAACCATCGAGTGCTTATCCTGGCTTTTTTAATCGCACATTTTTCCTACTCTCTTTATATACTTTACTCTTCTTCATGTTTAAACTCCCTCCTTCCTGCTTAAAGAGGACAGAGGCACAAACAGGCGACCTCGAGGGGTCCTCTTTTGTACCTTGACCTGGTTTGCCCCAGTGAAACGCCCAGATGGGTGAAATGGTCACTTTAGCTGAAAGTGCTGACTCAGAGCAGTGGCTCAGGTCACCCCAGCCTGGCCCACGGGGAGCGGCTGCCAGGCCAGAGCGCACAGCCTGCTTCCTAACAGATTCAAACCTACAAGCCACATTCTTAGTGCCTTTCATCACGCAGGGATCCATCCATCTTTGCCACGTACGCACCCACGCAGTGTGCATTACACCCCTGGCAAAAACCGCTGCTCCTCCTTTGATATATGACATGCTGTTGCTGTGGGAAACACAGTCCTGCCTGCTCCTGCTACATCTTCGGAGCTGCCCAGTATCCAAACCATGCACCATGCTTACCGGTGCCAGTAAATGTGCCGCTGGCATCTGACACTGGCCCTGGGGCCCTCCACGCATTATGGCAGTGCCCTATGATGCTATGGCGACAGCTGTCAGGTGTTTGCAGCGTTTTCACAGACGCAGGCAGACGGCTGATCTTGACCGCGAGCAGTCACAGGTGAGAATTTGGGCCACCACAACCCCAGGAGCCTAATGAGAGATAATAAGACAGATGTCCATGGTTTCAGAGGCTCAGGAATATAAAGAGCTGCCCAAGCCCTCCTCCCGAAACAGACCGCATCACCACGGAGACCTTTGCCCCGAACACTTTGAAGGCCTCCCACCGTTGTATGGGGCAGGGCCGTGCTATGTCTCTTTGCGGACTCGCCAATGCTCACGGCACAGCTCAGCAAATCCGGCGAACAGCACTCAGCTTCGTCCGGAAGGCTGCCGTGGATTTATTTTCAGGTCACCGTTTTGGCACCGCACATGACTCCAATTCATACTACCGTTGAGCACAAACCACGACTTGTAGGAAAAAATCTGAGGGGAGGAGGGAGAGTTTGGGATCCAGTTTGGAGTGGCCGGGACCTCCAAGGGCCCACTGGGCTCTCAGCTGCGGCACCATAATCACGAATTACAGTACAGACACCCAACACTGAGAGCGAGCTGCCGGCATTTACAGCAGATGTTAGCCATAAACCAGCCAGCCAGCTACACACAGTCTATTAATTAGGCTACTTAAGCCGCTGACGCTGTGAATGTGCGTCTATTTATCCGTGTCGAAGATGTAACAGCTGACAGCTCGTTTTAAATGCCGGGATCATCGCAAGGCATCACCACTGAGGTTCTCAGGGCAGAGAACAGTGTCAAACACATTTTTCGCCCAAAAAGCAACTGGAATGCCATGGCGTAACTTCAGTGAGGCCACGACTTGTTATCACAACATCAGCTGTGGAGCGAGAGAAAGTTCCAAAATAAAAATCACTGATGTGAAATGATTCTCTCTCTCTCTCGTCTGGGATTTTTCCCCCCTTAGGTCACAGACCGGTCACTACTGTATAGCACTGCACTTGTCGAAGAAGAATAGTGTGTGAGTGCATACCAGGCAGGGAGACGGACAGGAAGTGACAGGCAGGAAGTGTGGCCTACCTGCACGCTGATCCCGTCCAAGTCACCATGGGTGGAAGTTACTGCTCCAGCAGGGGGACAGACACATGCAACAACAAGGAAAGATGACATGAACATGTGGATATAGCATGAACACGATGGAGATAGTATGGACATGGTGGAGATAGTATGGACATGGTGGAGATTATGGCGATGTCATGGACATGGTGGAGATGTCAAGAACATGGTGAGGATGGCGTGGACACGATGGGGACGGCATGGACATGGTGGAGATGGTGCAGTTGACATGGACATGATGGGGATGGTATGGCAATAGTGAAGATAGTGGAGATAGCATGGACATGATAGGGTTGGCATGTATACGATGGAGATGGGATGGACATGGTAGAGATGTCAAGAACATGATGGAGATGGTGCAGATGACATGGACCTGATAGGGATAGTATGGACATGGTGGAGATGGTAGAAATGGCATGGACATGATAGGGTTGGTATGGAGATGAGGATGAACCCTAGCAGTTTCTTCATCCACCCCTGCCATAAACCCCTCACTGGGAGGTCCTCCTAAGCTTATGCACAAACAGACAGAGAGTCTTTGCGACAGTGTTGAACAGTTAGATCGTATCTGACCCCCCAATGCCACTCAGAAAATGATGTGAGACACACAGAATTAATGGGCGGACCGGTGTCGGTGGTGGCAGGCAGCTCACGGGGACTTTAATAAATACTCTCCTGACCTTGAGGAGGGTTTTAAAGACATCTGAGAGAAATAGGAGGAGAAATGAGCCAAATGACAGATGGACAGAAACAAGTGGATGATATTAAGGGGCAGGAGGGAGGAGAGGTCCCGTGGGAAGGAGAGGCCCCAGCTTGCTGGAAAGCCTGCCGCGGTCCAAAGGGGATGCGCCACATGACCCCCCCGTCACACACAACATGCTCCCCGGCTGCTGTCCAAGCAGCCAACTTCCCCAGATTCCTGCAGAACCATGGGCTTGCAACACAGACGCCGAGCGCTAAATCCTGCCCGAGTTATTAGCCTGGATAATTGAAAACGTTAATCCTGCCCGGCCACTCGCCGCACCTTTGGCATTCTCTCCGCGATGCTCCCCGACGCACGCAACGCGCCCAGGCAGAAAGTTAATATTTTAACTGCAGAATATGAAATTAACACACAGGATCAGCCGGCCTGCCCTGGCTGATCAACAATAAAAGTGAAGCGTCGAAACTTAATACTAAAATAACAGCAGACAGGTGTCATGCAAATATTTCTAATTACAAACTTCAGTCTTGAACAGCTTTCTCTGTGATCTGATTACAAAGAGGGCATATAACGTGAAGCTGCCTGACACAAAAGTGGAGGGGGAGGGGGGGGTACACATCATGTTATTTCTTGGGGGGTGGGGGGGGACCGAAAGTGAAAGTGAATCCAACAGCATGACATCCTGGAAATGAACGTGTTTCAACTGATGAATGCAGAATTCAGAGGGACAGGGGACGTGTGGGGTTAAAAGGTGAGGAGGCTCTATGGCACACGGAGGGCGAGCAGGCGGGGGGAGAGAGGGTGGTCTGGCACGTTACACAGCAAAAACTGCTAAATGGTTTCGCTACCTGACCTTTAACTACAGTCACAACAAGATCTGACTAAACCGCGCTGACCCACTGTGAAGGAAAATCTGCTTGTGTCCTCCCCCACCACAATCCCAACAAGGATCCCCCTTCCAATGCAGGGAGAGCTCATCAACCCCAAACCCCACCCCCCTACCTCAGACCCACCCAAGCTGAACTATCAGTCGCAATATGCCGAAGTGCAGCTAGGGGGCGCCATACCTTAGAGGTGAGGTTAGCAAGCTGAGGGGAAGCTCCCACGCTGCCTGCAAGTAGGCCGCCCCGCGCTGTCGCCCGCTACTTTCTGCCTTTATTTACTCCTCTATTTCTAAACTTCTTCATTGTGCCGAGGCGCTCCCGCGTCTCCAGCCATCTGTCCACAGCGAGGCGCGGCCCGGCCGTCCTGTTCCGTGTGCCCGCAAGGGAACCGTGCCGGCTGGAGCCCCCCCGGCAGGGTGACTCCGCGGGGACGGGGGCGGGGGGGCCGTCTGTCGACGCTTTCTGTACCTTGACAAACTCATCATGGGGCGGGGCAGGTGGACAAGTCTGTCAAGGCGGATGTTGAGCTGGGCTCTTCAAGGTATCCCTTCTCAAACTGCTCGCACTCCCTGTTTGGTGGCCAGACAGTCCATGCCATTCCCAATAAGCTGATAAACTGAATAGGTGTTGACAACCACTCTGCCCCCCCTCCATCGACACAAACCGTGCTCTGGATGACACGCAACTGGAGCAACTATAAGCAACTGCAGGGGTGTCCAACTGGGGCAACCATGCTCAAATGTGGGGGTGTCCAACTGGGGCAACCATGCTCAAATGTGGGGGTGTCCAACTGGGGCAACCATGCCTAAGTGTGGGGGTGTCATACTGGGTCAAAAATGAGCAGATGTGGGGATGTCCTACTGGGGCAACCAAGAACAACTGTGGAGGTGTCCAACTGGGGCAACCATGTTCAACTATGGAAAAATCTCACTGTTAACAAACGTGCGACTATACAATCGAGTAGCTGGGACAAATGTGGGACCATATCTGCCACTACAACAGCTCTGTCTCGTCACGCTTGTCATCCTATGCATAAGAAACAGCAGTAATGAAGCTGGACCTCACAGGGCCTGGCAGTTCAAACAATCACATAATCAGAGTGATCACATGACCAATAATACTCCATCTCCAAACCACGGTCACATGTCACACACACGCACAGAAACACACACATCTTGCTATTAATCTACTTTTCAAACCCTTTTCATCTTAAAAAACTTATGTAACACATGAAATGCAGCAACTGAGTATTTCCATGAGAGTGAAATAAGTTACTCCCGCAAATCAGGTTAGGCTCGAAGCCCAAGGGTACAACAGCAAGGATCCTCTTGCGGCATGCCAGCATCAGACTGTCCCACATGACACTGCAGATTGAATGCAGCCAACATTGCACTCCTGCAGGAGTCAAGCCAAACTGACAGGGTGTAGCAAACACCCCCTCCGGCCACCCTTTTTTTTTCAGTGAAAACCTCTCATCTCCTAGACCCCTCAGGGACTGAGGGGACAGGGCAAGGGAGACGCTCACTCTGTCAAACACGCACAAAACAAAACACATACACACACACATACACATACACATACACACACACAAACATCACCTATAACGTTAGCTAAATTTATCAAGATATTAGAGCTCAAGTCAAACATAAAGCCTCCATTTTGATGCTGAAATTAATGAATTATGTGTCGGGGGTCAATAATCTGCCTGATTTACATAAACGATGAGGATGGTGACACACTTTAATACAGGAAGTACAGTAGAAAGCAAACAGGCAATGCTGGAACAGCACCTAGGAACGACAGGGCGGACTCTCCGTGAACAAGGGCACAGGCTCGGTAATCCACTGGGACGGAGAGACGTGGAACCCAGCTGCATTTAATTCATTTCCATACGACGGCGGCAGTTCCCAGTCTGACAGACCCTGTCGTACTTTATGAGAGAAGGTCACAGGCCCCTAACCCTCTGCAGTCCTGAGTGAAGGTGACCGTGGGACATGACCGAGGCAGAGCTGAAGCGGAGAGCCGAAGCTGGAGGACTGCTTCAAGGAGAAGAGTGAGTAAAAGAGAGCTCCCTTTACAGGGAGGGGGGGAGGAGTTTGTCTCTCGCTTACAGGAGCGAGCCTGAATGCAGAAAGATGAACGAGATGTTCTCCTCCCTCCTAATGACTCTTATGAATGTGCAAAGCAGTTTCTGACATACCAGGGCCGTATGAAATGGGGGCAAACACAACCTTTGGGGAGGGGTGTCCACACAGGAGTGGCAGCATAGGTGGTTTTCACTGATTAAGCTCAGTCACACATAAAGTCCTGCTCTCTGTGATCTCTAGGCTAGATTTAAGGAAGGAACGAAGGATAGATGGACGGATGGAAGGAAGGAAGGAATTATGGAAGGATGGAGGGATGGTTTTGATCAGCAGACACGAGTGAAGAGGGATGAGCTAATCTTCAGGCCTGGGTACCCTTGAGCTGATAGCCCTGAGCTCCTCAAGTTCTATAAGAACAACAGAACAAGAACAGGGAAAACCTTCCGGTCAGACATACTGTACAGTCAATGCCCCTCCTTTCCAAGCATGAGATTTTGATTGGCCTGCCGGAGAGCCTATCAATCCCCTGCATAACTGACTGCTTTGATTCGAGGATCCCCAGGTAAAGTACAGGTCTAAAGCAATCAGCCAATCAGGACGCGCCAGGGAAGTGTGAAGCTATACATGGTACAACAGGACCAAGAGGATATGAGTCACGGTGAAAGCAGTGGAAGCCATGCCCACAAGGCTTATCGTCCCCCCTCCCCCCCTCCCAAGATGACACTGATCAGTGGGCATGAAGACCACCAACCCCTGGATCTGCGTCTCTTCTGCTCTCTGTGCACCCCACGCCCTCATTCCCTACACAGTTAGGCTATCTGCAGAGTTTCCTTGGCCCTCCCCCCAAGGAAACGGACAGTGTCTCCCATTCACAGCCACCCCTCTCCCGTTGCTTTCATTTCATGCCATGAATCATACTCGCCTGTGATTGGTGGAGCCACACGGCCGTCGCAGAATCCTGCCGTGCCACATTATTATATCTGGCAGCCGGGGGCTCCCAGGCTCACACCGGGAATGACGCGGCTTGGATCAGAAGACCGCCTGGTGCCTGGAAACAGCTGTGCGGTTGCATGCAGACAGCCCTCGGCGAGCGGGACCATGAGTCTGACACCCCCCCTACTGCCCCCCCACCCAAGCCACCGCGTGCCGGCTGCTCTGCGCTGCATATTCAATTACAGCAGCTGGCCAGAGATCACAGTCCTCACTCATAAAGCAATCAGGTTAATATCACATCCGCTCGCCGGCTCCTAATTATACTCATTATGCAAGAGAGCGCCACGGCGTTTGAGGCCCAGTCCCGCCCAGTTCCGGCAGCCACGCGGTCGCCTCCGCAGGCCCTTTAGATGGTCCGGTTCCTGTCGAGCCACATTACTCGTGGTTGGGATACAGGTCCAGGGATGGCGCCGCTTGGCTCGCAATCTGCACACTTTGGAGGGCGGCTTGAGGGAGCACACATGGTGCCCGACACGGGCCGGGCATGTTCAGTCAGGGAGGGCTGGCTACACTTCACACCAGTTGCATTCCTCACAATTATGTGCTGGGTAGTTAGGTAAGGAGGATTAGTCCATTTCACACGAGGGGTGGGTATAAAATAAACAGGAAAAGCATATATAATTTGGCCAGTAATTGTGGGTAGAATAATACAGAAACCACAATGACAAGGACACCAAACGGACATGGAGACGTGGGGACACTCATAGCTCTGTTCACTGGGTTTCTCCAAGGCCAGCTCCCTGCCCCCTCTGTGCCAGACAGGCATGGGATATGTTCAGCAGGACTCACAGAGACATGGTCGGGGGGGGGGGGTGCTATGGAAAAGTAAGTGTCTACACTTAAATCCCAGCCAGAGCTGCGCTTGTTATGAAGGACGCACAGTAGCTGTAGCCTAGCTGAGGCCCAACGGGGTCACCTAGGGAACGGGGGGGCCGTACACCCTGAGAGTCAGGAGTCCATGACACGCCGCCCAGGTGGACAGGGTGGGGGGGGAATGGAAAGGAAGGCCGAGCAAGTAGAGAGGGAGGAGGATGCCCCCCCCCCCCCCACACACACCAATGAACTATGGAGGCAACCGGCTCACTGAACCAGTGTCAGATGGGAGGGAGACTCTCCAGATGCTGGAATCCGCTCTCGGTTACACTTACTGGAGCTGCCTCAGAGCCTAACAGTGCCTCTCAACTGACCATCAGCACCAATCAGCACCAGGCAGCCTTACTTCTGGCCCACGATTCCATTTCCCAGCTCTGCTCAATCATGGTAAATGACCACGGGTCTCCATCTCCCCACCTTGTCCGTGTGCTAATCCATCTGACCTCTTCCTTCCATCCATTCTGGCCCCTCCCCAGGTCCCATATCTTCCCAATCCCACACTCCCACCACCCCCAACCTTTCCCTCCACCCACGCTAGGCCTGACAACTTCTCAAGACTTTGAGAAGTCTTTGGTACGGGCCGACGGCGGCTGCGGCGGCACGGGCGAGAGTGGGCCGGAGAAGCGGGCCGGGCCGTTCCCCGCGGCTGCGCTCGGCGGAAAGCACGCGGGAGTCTCGCGCCTCCTCCTCCCTTTCAGCTAATTAGCTCAGCTGGAAAAAAAAGGCTCATTTTTTTTAAGAGGCAGAACCTCCTCCTGTCGCATGGAGCCTTAGAAATAGCTGACCCACTTGTGGAAGCACTTTCAGGACCAGCGTGTCCTCAATGCGGTAACCTAGTTAGTACCGGTGCTCCGTCTATGCGTGGCAACCTACAAAACGTACAGGCCAGCCTTGGGCACGTGGGGGCGGGAGCGGGGGCGGGGACATGCATGCCACCATGACTGTGGGACAGACCAATCACCAAGCATGTCACACCAAGCTGCAATTATGACAACGGCACACAGAAACACAGAATGAGAAAAATAATTTCCTTTGAGTTCCAGGAACATGTGATTGTAGGGCTCTGAGGGTAGATAGATGATCATTTTTAATGCTTTGCCACCTTCCTCCCTGTTTCACATCCCTCGCTACGCCCCAATCCGCCTGAAGACAACAGATTCAGCCGAGATACTACATTAATCCGGACCCTTAAAGTACTGCGACATCACACCTGTCCAGTACCTGACATTAAAATGTGAGGTATGTTTCTGCGTGTGGGCATATCTAAGAAATCTACATTCCGCATTTCAGCCCCCCAGAAGGCCAGAGAGACCAGCAAGGTTTCTGTGCTGTGAAATGGGTGCTGCCTTCATCCATGTAAAGGCTTAATTTCCACAGCATAGGAATCTGGTGCTTACTGACACACACAAGTACACACATAAGCACGGGGTAGCGGGCGGTGAGGCGAACGGCAACTGAACACACGGGGCAGAGACACTCACCTCAGGGCTGCCTGGCTCTGTCTGTGTTGACTTGTCTGCTCTCGAACAGCTTGGTCTTTGAGCCCCCCTGACTTTTTCCTGCACACAGGAAGGTTGAGTCAGGCAGCCATTGTTGTCCAGAAGGCACCCCCCCCCACCCAACCACAAAGTCCTGCCCCATAAGCTTAGAACAACATCAAAACAGTGAGCAGCAATGAACTGCATGCTGGAAAATGTTCACGCAGCCCACCGCCACAGAAACTAGACTCCCATAGGATGATGGGATGCCAGGGGACACTTAATGCTGGAAAAAAAAATGCTTTTACACTTAATTGCTCAATGTCCACCAGAAGCGGACATTTCAGGTCCAGAAAGTAAAAATCCAAACCAGGATTTCGTTTCAACCAACCAGTTGAGTATAAAGA